GGGCGCCGCGCCGCGCCGGGAGCCGCTCGGCCAGTGCCCGCGGACCGTGTCGGACCTGGCGCTGCAGAACGCCTTCGGGGAGCGCTGGGGGCCCTGCTTCGCCGAGTACGACTGGTGCTCCACCTGCTCCTCGTCGTCCGAGTCCGACAACGAGGGCTACTTCCTGGGGGAGCCCATCCCGCAGCCCGCGCGCCTGCGCTACGTCACCAGCGACGAGCTGCTGCACAAGTACAGCGCCTACGGCGCGCCCAAGTCCTCCACCCTGGGCGGCCGCGGACAGCTGCACAGCCGGAAGAGGCAGAAGAGCAAAAACTGTATCATTTCCTAAGGGGCGGGGCGGAGGCGCGCGGGCGGCCGGCGGGGAGCCAGGGTGCGGCGGGCCTGGGGTGCGCAAATTCTCGGCATGTTGAACCTTATTTGCACATTTCCCTTTGGAAACACGCTAGACTCTGGAGGCCAGGGTCGGTCACCTCCTCCCCCGTGTCCTGTGTTGGTGGCCGCTCACCAGACGGCAAGCTGTCCCCCGCTCGCTTCCACCCTCCCAGTTCTCTTCCTTTTAGGACCCTTTTTCCAGTGAGTAATTTTGTTTATTAGCCAGGACCTGAGACTAAGTTATTTACTTGTCCATTGTAAATGCAATGTAAATGAGAGTTCTGATAAAATATTTTTGTATTTTGTAATATCAAAGGAATTTCTATATCGTAGTGGGGCTTGCATGCACATCCAGCGTTGTCTTTGAGTAGTACTGAAAGGTGGGCAGGACCACCAGGTTTCTTTTCTATACAGATTTGTTACATGTCGGTAAGACTTTTTTCAAAGGGATATATTCGATTGGGCTTTTTGTAGCTGAAAAAAAAATTTATTCTTCCCAAAACATTGGATGCTCCGTTCCATCTTAAGGAGCTGTCCTTAAGCCCTCTTCCACCCCTGGTAGAATTTATTCTCTACAAAGTGGTAGTACTTTTTTGACTTGCAAATGTAACTTTTGCTGATTAGAGATACCGACCGGGTCAGTAGAGTCCCAGCTGGGAACTTGAAGTTGCTTAATACCGACCCATCCCTTGGGGAAATCTAAGTGACCGTGTGAGTGGTGCCCTTGTGTGCTGTCAGCATGACGTTGTTTTGACATTGTTCTCTGGTGCTCGTTTCCTGGGTTGTATTACTTGCTTTCCTTCTCCAAGGCAGACGAGCTGCTGCCTTAGCCTGACAACCGGTTGTCCTCAGAGCAAATGAACTTGGGCGTCTGGAACTGAGTGACAGATGGGTGCTGGGGGCTCCAGGCAGGACGGAGTGTAGCCTCCCCCGAAAGGAGAGGAACAAGCGATCTGGACGCATATAGCAGAAGGGCCATAGGAGTGGGGGGTCAGGAAGAAGACATTCTGGACAGAAAGCGGAGGAGAGGCCACAGCTGTCTTGAGTATTCCCAGCACCACTAGAGAATCCAGCTTAACAGACTCAGTAACCAGAGTGGCCGGGTGCCCCGGAAGGTGGGGCTGCGAAGATTTCAGGGTAAAGTCTCAGAGAAACAGACTTTGTTGAAAGGAGAGATCTCCATTCTAAACTTCCAAGACCGTTGGTCAGATAGAAAACCCGCTCGAAGTGAGTTTGCTTACAGAAGACATTGAACGGTTGTGCTATTTATAGTAAAGTAAAACTTCCTGCCTCGCTTCAGTTAGAAATGAAGCACTTGCTCTTTGTCCCTCCTTCTCCTCCCCTCAGTGGATTGTAGCAGTGGAAGTGCTCCCTCTGAGGACCCACTTAGTGAGCTGTTCTGTCCACGTAGTCCACGGTGTGTCTCGGGGGCCATCTGCCGTGGTGAGGTGAGCGTGGTCCCTTTTCAGTATAGTAGTTAACATTTTCTAGTATTTTTATGGAGGGAACGTGAAGAGCGGCTTTTCAGATGCCGTCCCAGACGGGTCTGGGGAGAGGAAAGCTGTAAAGAACATGGTAATGGCACTCCATTCAGGATGTATTAAAGTAATTTGCTTTTCAGGTATTAATATGACATTTGTCATTGTCACTGATTTTTTAAAAAAGCAATGCAAATGTTGGTTGTGACTGTTTTCCGCATGCTATCTTCATATCGAAATGCTTCATTAATTATCCTAGCCTCTGGAGAATTAACTTTAATATGTTTGTATAGTAGGTTTGTAAACTGCTTGGCAAATTGATTAAGAAATTACGTGCAGCGCCATGCTACTCAAGTGGCAGGTTTCTGGTAGAAATTGGGCGAGTCCAATTTGGAATTCTGGGTGCCTCAACGGTGAGAGTAAAAAGGCATTGTTGGAAAAAGAAAACAGAGAGGAAAGGTCGATCTCTTAAGTTAGCAAATGGTTGTGTGTTTATCTGCTGTGGCCCCAAATCCAATGAAAGAAATTCTCCCATTTAAAATAGTAGCTCTTACACATCCCAAACAAGGCTTTCACCATCATTACAGAAAGAGGCGACCTCAACACTGACCTAATCTTACCCCCGGGGACCTGGGTCCACAGGGGTCATTTCAGGCCCCGCTGTCAGAGAGCAGCCAGGGAATTCCCCAGCAGAGCTGGGGGGAGGACGAGGTCCAGGCCAGAGGGTCACGCTGTACTAGCGAGATGACCTCCGCCTCTCCGGCGAGGGCAGATTTCTTCAGCCAGGTGCCTTACAAGAGAGGGTCACTGGTGGAAGGTCAGTTCCTCCCCATGTGGTGGGTGCTCCAAGTAGGTGCCCAAGAAGACCAGGCATCACTGTACTGGGACGTCTACCTACCTGTCAGTGGTAAATTACATGTACCACTCTAGGTCGCATTCCCGGGAACTCGGTGCACTCTCTCCTGAGGCAGGAACGTGAGGTTCTCACCTGATGTCTCATCAAAACCCTTACCTGGCTGAGTGCTCTCCTGTGTGGGGCTCCACGCCCTTCCTTGAAGATCATCATTTCATCTTCACTTTCTTTAGCCTGGTTTCAGAGGAGCCGTCTTTTCCCAGTTTCCTCTCCTCCAGTGTCTTGACTGGTTTTCTCTCTACCTCTCCCACCCCTGGGCTTGCCTTTGGTTAGACTTGCGTCTTCAAAGTTCTGTCCATTTCTTATTGCTGCTGGATTCAGAGGCCGCAGAGCTAGCTCCTTTTCAGGACGGGAAGCGTCCATCATCAAGGCCTCCCTTGGAGCCCTGCAAGCTTATGGCACCAAGTGTAGCAGTCAAGGTCTGTCCTTCTGCCATTTAGCTTGGGGATCTCTGCCAAATATGAAGGTGACTGAGGCAGGGGAAATCAGGCCACGTGCGCTGGTTTTCCGCGCGTCCAAGGCAGCGATCCTGGTGTTGGTTTTTGACACCTTCTTTCCACATTCACCTTTTATTCTGTGGTCCTTCCTTTCTCTTTCCAACCAACCGAGCGAACAAGCGGTTTTGCTTTTCCAATACGAGACATGAAGGCAGCACTTTCTCACCTCCTGCACCATAATGTGATGATTTCTCTTGCAGGAGTTTTTGCTCCTTGGGTTCTGCTAGCCATTGCTCAGTCTGGGCAGGGCCAGCGATAGCACGTACGAGCTCTTGCTCTGCCCGCCCTGCCACCTGAGCAGATGTCAGAAAGGCATTGCTGTGTACCTTCCACAGGAACGTGGACACAGCCTTGGAAGCCTCTGGCCACTCCAACCAGCCAGGGCCAGTTGATTAGAACTGATCTTATTTGTCCGCTAACAAATCTTATTTATGAACTGATTCTTATCTGTTACTCACCCTGGCTCTCTTGCCATGGAATAAAACAGTGCACTCAATATTTAGGAAGCATCAATCATAAATAATTGGAAGATTTCGTGTTTATCCCGCAGATGGTGGTGGCTGGAGGAAGCCAACCTCCTAGGCTAAACGAAGACAGATTTCTTCATCCTCCTTTTCCACATTCGGGTTCTTGGCCAATTAGCACAAGCAGCCTTCGTTCATTCTGCAGAGCTCAAGTAAGACTCCCCAGTTTTCTTCATCTAACCCCACCTTCTAATGAGAGAGGAAACAAATATTTAAATTGCTAAAGGAGAAAGTGCTCCTTGTGTATTTCTAACGGAAACCAGATGCTTCTGCCTGAGAAGGAGGATCCAACCACGGGCCGGGAAAGTAGAAAAGTGAACCAGTTATCCAGGTATTTGATGTAACAGGAATTGCCCCTGGCAACTGCCTGGCCCTCCAGAGCTTTAACAGGGGCTCTGCAGGAAGTCTTCCCCAGGCATCTGCTGCTGGCTCAGAAGGCATTGCAGACTGCCACCTTTTGAGGTCCATTTCTTTCAGTACACGAGCAGTGGAAATGAAGGAGTTTGTCCCGCTGGACCTCAGCAAACATCAGAGCGTGTCTGCATGACCATTCAGCAGTCATCATTCAGGTCAGGATCACAAAAGAAGTAGATCCTTTTTCCATTTCCCGTAAGAGTAGCTCAGTGCACATGAGCCTCCCGTGCAACGTGAGTCACAGTTGGGAGCTGTACTATTTTATAAGCTTATTTCCTGCCAACAAAACTAGCTTTCCTCAAGAGAATAAAGAGAAGGAGCGCCAAGTCACACAGTGTTAGGGAACATCTCTGTGATGTAGACAGGATGAATCAGTAGGATAGAAAAACCGTCTTGTTCCGTCCTGAGAGTTTTCGGAGCCGTCCCTTCACTCACTGGGCATTTGGCCGATGACATTCAGTAGGTCACTGATGGTGCTTCTCGGAAATTTTCAGTTACTTACGATAAGGTCTGTTCTCAAGCCTATCAAATGGATTTCCATATTTTTCCATAACGTGCTCTTGCTTCTGTCATAGACCCCAACTTAATATTTGTAGGCCTGTGAGTCCTCCATTTTCTCCAGAAAATTAGGACTTCGACAGTTCCCTTCCCAGCCTCATTCCTTCCTGCACAGGGCTGCTGTGCCCATCTCCGGCTTTAATTTCGCGGGCATAAACGAAACCTCCAAGGGCCTGAGAAGGCGAGGCGGGCGGCATCTGCTGTGTGTCAGGTGTGAAGCTGTGTGCTGTTAAGAAGGCCCGCCACGGGCCTTTGCTGTGGGCTCTGCCAGAGACTGTTCTGAACACTTTGCTTGAGATCCGTGCCCTGTAAAATGGATATGATGTTTTACTGATGTCTGTAATACATTTGTAAACTTCCAGTAAAATTTGAATAAAAGAAACGTTGCCGTGCTTCTCAGTCCTCCCTCACGTGCCGGATTTCGGGGGTGACCCTACCTTCGACTGTCTCTGTGCAGGAGCGAGAGGCCACTCCTGCTGGGGGGTGAGATTCACCATGAAAGATGAGCCTCGGTGTTCACGTCTGGGTTTCTCTCAGCCTTGGCTCCCTCTGGGCTTTGGGCCCCTTCACTTTCTGTTGCAGAGGGCCGTCCTGTGTGCTGGAGGACTGAAGGGTGATCAGCGCCATCACTGGCCTCTACCCACTACTGCCTGCAGCATCTCCCCCAGTTACGACAGGTAAAAATGCTTCCAACGTTGAACCGTTAGGTAAACACTTTCCTTTTTAAAGAAGGAAAACAAAAAATAGTCGATGAGGCTGTGAAGAAACGAGCGCTTGTGGCGCTGTTGGGGATATAAAATGGTGCAGTGCTGTGGAAAACACTGTGGTCCTTCCTCAAAGCATTAAAAGTAGAATTCCCATGAGACCCAGAACTCGGCTTCTGATGCCCTCCCACAGGAAATGGAAAGCAGGTTCTCAGAGAGGTGTTTGTTCACCCCTGTTCCTAAGAACGTTACTTACAACAGCCAAAAGCCAGAGCAACCCAGACGTCCCCCAGTGGGCAAGGTGCAGAGTAGCTGTACAGTGGGATGCTATCCAGCCTTTAAGGAAGGGAGTTGCGAGGTAGCAAGATGGATGAGCCGTGACACTGCTAAGTGTGAGCTAAACCAGTCCCCAGTACTAGGTGGTTCTACCTAAATAAGGTATCTAGAGTCAAATTCACAGAGGAACAAATTCAAAGGGCAGTTACCAGAACCAAAGGGAGGCAGAACTGAGTGTAGAGTTTCAGTTTTGCCAGATAAAAAGCATTCCAGAATGGTTGCAGAACATGTAAATATACTTACTACTGAACTGTATGCTTCAAAAATGGTTAAGATAGTAAATTGTTATATTTATTTTACCACAATTCTTCTTAAAAATTGTGTCCACACATTAGCAGACATCCTCTGAGGATACAGTCACCATGGGCCGAGAACTAGCAGTTTGAGAGCACCACTTCCTTAGCTCCTGCTCCCTGTGGATTCTGGAAAATTGATTCCTGTATGGGCCTTATGGTAAACTCTCCAGTACTGGCCACAATTGAAACCAGCAGATGACCCCAAAATATTCATGCTTGCTCTTAAGCAAATAATAAGTGGTTTCGTCCACGGCTGTGTTCTGGTTAAGACAGTACTCACATTGTCTAGAAGCCAGGACCAAAGCAGCAATTTTCCCCTTGTCTGATCCGTGCATTTGGGAATTAGTTACTGGATGCAGAACATCGCTGATTCATTCATAAGAGTGTTTGTTTAGGACTTGCTCTACGCCAGGCACTGTTATAGATGCCTAGAATATAGTAATGTGCAGAACTAACAAAACCTCTACCTGAAGGCACCTTACAGAGTGTCTTTAGTACCAGGAAAGAAATCTGGATCAGCAGTCTCACCCTGACCACAAGGACTTGGGAGATGCAGACAAGAGATTTCACCTAAGGCACCGGAGAGCCTTTGGCCAAAGACTTGCACTGGAAGAAGCAGCTCCTGTGCCTGTCCTGCTCCCACTCCTGCTGGGTGGTGTGGCCTTCAGGCAGCCGTGCTGTTTACTAAATGGTCTTGGCTTCCTTCTCTTCAGCCAAAATAATTGCAGTCAAGAATGGCTCCTACCCCGCATTCTATAATGTAAATCAGACTGCTCATTTTCCTCTCTCCTGGGTGTAAGAAATTTGGAGAGAAGGCCCTGCACTGTGGAAACCAGCACTAAGAGGATGTACAGGGGTGGGGCCAGGCATATGAGGGTGAGAGAAGGAGCCTGAAGCAGAAGCTCAGACAGCAGGGCAGAATAAACGCTGACAGGAGCCTGGAGAGGCCAGAACTGACCACAGGAATGAGTCCCTGGACTGCCACTCCTGCAGACCAACCCAGCTTTGCCCTGGAGATATTCCTCTCAGCTGGCTGTCCACTGCACTACGGGTCTCCCCCTGCAAAGATGTGCTGCTACACTGATACCTGCACGACCTTAGTTGGACATTTTCCTTGCAGCCCTAATTAAAATGCAAAGGAAGAATTCTGAACACCAGCTGTGTTACTTTTCTTTTGCCCCTGCACCCCTTTAACATTTTCAGTCTCAACCACTGGCTAGCTGAAACGTCCATGTCCTCTCTGAGACTTATTGTTAATCTATCCAGTAGGGTAATAATGGAAATCTTCACTGATGTTCCGGAGTTATTGCAGTGATGCACGTCAGGCTCTTAGCATTGTGTCTGCTGCTGTAAGAGCTGAAAGCACAGTGGCTGTTGCTGCTGTGATTATCCTTATTCCTATTCTACCCAAAGAAAAGGGTAATGGAAACTAGATACCATTGGTGCCTGGTCTAAGACTGCTCATCGTCTTGTGTAAGTGTTAAATAGGATTTAGAGACCTCTAGGGCAGGCCCTAGGCCTTGCTATGTGTAAAAATTGCCTGCAGAGCTTATTAAAAGCCTTGTCCTCAAACAGAGGTTCTGCCTCAGTCGATCTGGGGTAGAATACCAGCTTGTATTTTGATCATGCCCCTCCACGTCACTCTGATCTAAGGGCCTGTAAGGTCATGAAATTGCCTTAGCACTTTTTCATTCTCTTCCAAGTCTCGAGGAAAAATTAAACCAACTAAAAAATCATCTGCAGTCAATAGCTAAAGGCTTTCATACATCAAAATCACCCAGGTAGAGCGTTTAAAATTCTCCTTCCCTGATCAGCACTGGAAAGTCTTATTCCACACAGCCTGCAAAACTGCCTTTTTCCACAAGCACTCAGCAAGCAGAGCTCCTTCTGAGGAAACTTCCCTGAGGCTGTCAGTGCTGGAAATCCTCATCTTCCTGAGCCCACGTGCAGCTCCTCAGGGTGCAGGGTCTGCTGCCCAAATCCTCACCAGCTGATGTATAAGGTTGGCGCTGGTTTATTTTTCCCTAGGATGAAAAGCATTGGCCCCTTTGGAAAACCCATCCCTGCGTAACTGTTAACTACAGCTAATTCTGTCTCTGAGAAATGTCCATACGTGAACTTATGAAGGAGAGCTTATCAGAAGATGGAGGAGATACAGAACCAAAGTCAAACACAGGCTGAAGGTTAGGGAGGGGGTTAGCTCTTAAAACAACACAGTCATACCCAACAGGAGGTGAGATCATCGAAGAGCTTTTACATGAAATACCAGCAGATGCTCATTTTTCTGCTGGGTGGATGATTCTGGAGATAGAACAGATCACTGGTTGATGGACAGCTGTGTACCCTTCACACACAGGTTAGCAAACAGCTGGACAAAGGGACTAGAAAGCAAGCCCCATGACCTGAGGAATTTGAACCCTAAGGGCAACTGGCCTAGGCCAGTCTCTTTGGATTTTAAGTAATCAAAGCTTACTTCAAGCTAACTTGAGAAAAAAAGGAGGCAGGATAGCTTATTTGAAAAACACTATATGTCCTGCAAGAGCCCAAAGGCAGGGGGCAGGCAGGCAGAGGAAGCGGAAATAAAATAAACAATTAAAATGTGTTCTGTGTGGGGGCCAACTCCCCACGGTGACTGTGTGGGGGCCAACTCCCCACGGTCACTATGTACTGCAAACGTGAGCTGATACAAATTTTTTACATGAATAAAAGAACCCAGGGGCAGCAGCTTCATGAGATCCTGGCATAGAAAGCCAACAGGAGCTCAGGTTTCTACTCCTCTTTTAAGGCTGTGCTTAATCTTGTTCTGAATCTTTGTTCATCTGCCCTTGCAGTTTTGGCACACATGTCACTCCATAGCTCCCAAGCTGCTGTCTCTGTCGCCAAATCTCTTATTCCCACAGGTACTCTCCTGGCCCACTTAGAATCAGGTACTCATCCTATGTACTCACCTAGCAGCACCAAGCACTGTGGGCCAGGGTGGAGTGATCAGTGCCAGCATCCTGGCAGAGGGCTGGTTCTTGTGGGTCAGCCAGCAGTTTCTAGGTAGAGAATGTTATGGGCTCAGCAGACACCCCAAGATGTACACTCTATAGGAACTACTGTAGAGACCACCCAATGGAGAGCAGAGGCTGTTATCCATGTTATCCATGCACCCTGCTTATTGAATTGGACCTGCAGTCACTGTCTTGGTTACTTTTCTCTTGTTGCTGGGACAAAATATCTGACCTCCAGAATTAAGTGAGGAAAGGTTTATTTAGCTCACAGTTTGTGGAGGTTTCAGTCCACATTCGGCTGGCTCCAAGGCAGGGTAGCACATGGCAGAGGGCAACAGTTCATGGCGGTAGAAAACAGCAAAAGCAGCAAGAGTGAAATGGGAGGAGCAGCAGCAGAGAGCAAGCCTCTTTCCCTCCCTTACATTGTATGCAGACTACCTGCCTCAGGGCGGGTATAGTTCACACAACCATAATCCCAGCACTGGACAATGAATCAATCAAAAACTCAAGAAGCCTGCTTCATAACTTCCTGAGGCTTTGGGGGGACATCCAGACACAAACCGTAATATTCCACCCCTGGCCCCCCAAAGACTCATGCACATCTCTTTATGCAAAAGGCATTTTAGTCCATCTCCAAGAGTTGCCAGTGTCCTAACAGTTTCAGCATTGCTGAAAAGTCCAAATCCCAAGTCGCCTCCAAGATGTAAGGCAAGCTTTTAGCTGTGAGCCCCTGTACAAATGAAAACAAAGTTAAACATTTCCAACATTCAATGGCACAAGATAAACATTACCATTCCAAAAGGTACAAAGAGGGGGAATACAAAGAATGGGACCAAAGCAAGTCCAAAATCCGGCAGGGCAAACATTAAGTCCTGTAGTTCCATGTGGAGCATCTGAAGAAATCTGGCAAATTGTGAGCTCCATGTGGCTCCACCTCTGTGGTACTTCTGGTGGTTGTAACTCCCATGGCTTCTCTCTTGGGTCAGCTCTGCTCCCTCCTTGAAGTTTTCCTCAAACAATCCACATGCCTGGCTTCTCCAAACTTCTGGGGTCTCCACTGCACCTCTGAC